TAGCTGTCATTGTATGAAGAGGTAAAGGCAGTGCAGGTGCAGCTGCTGGTCATGTTTCTACATATTCAGCTTCTACATAAGATCAAGCTCCTACATATGGTCATGCTTCTACATACGTTATATGTAATGAAAATTACACATAAACTCCTCCCCAGGCAGGGTTTTTAGTAGGGTGATGAGGAGAGTTTGTCAGAGTTCATCTTCAACTCAAGCATCCCTGGATCCAACAGGAGAATCACTTGAACTGGGGAGGTGGAGGTTGCAGTGAGCTGAGATCACACCACGGCACTCCAGCTTGGGTGACGAGAGTGAAACTCTGTCTCAAAAACAAAACAAAACAAACAAAAACCAACACGAACTCAAGGTGCAACAGGGACAAGTGGGTAATCTTTCACAGTGTTTACCCGAAAACCCAGGGGCCCTGGGCTACATCTTCTCTCTCCTGTATGTCACTCTCTATGGATTATCAAGAGGTTTAGAAAGTTTATCTTTTTACGTTGAAGAAATTTATTCTAGAATAAATAGGATGAGAACACATTTTGGAAATCTATCGTAAGGCCACAACTTATTAGAAGTTGTAGAAAAGTGGAATAATTTAGTTTCCTTGTAATTGGTATTATTGATTATTGGTTTTTCTTCTTTAGTGGTCTCCAGCTACTTAGCCATGATCAATTGCTATAATCCTTATTAAGTATTTGAAGATGTTGAGTACCATCCACTGAAGGAGTCCCAGGGCTGATTGAGGAAGTTTGTGAATATTAAAAGTTGGAGATGGCCAGGTACAGTGTCTCGGCCTGTAATCTCAGCACTTTGGGAGGCCAAGGCAGGCGGATCACGAGATCAAGAGATTGGGACCATCGTGGCCAACATGGTGAAGCTCTGTCTCTACTAAAAATACAAAAATTAGCTGGGAATGGTGGCACGCGCCTGTAGTCCCAGCTTCTCTGGACGCTGAGGCAAGAGAATCGTTCAAACCCGGGAGGCGGAGGTTGCAGTGAGCTGAGAGCGCACCACTGCACTCCAGCCTGGTGACAGAGCAAAACTCTGTCTAAAGGAAAAAAAAAAAAAAAAAGATGGCGACACAGAATTTTGTTTTTTAAAGCACTTTTGTGATTTACAATGTATATGTAACTAAATTTACTGATTTTAAGCATATGGTTTAATGTATTTTCACAAATATGTCAGTTATGCATCCACCACCGCAGTCCTGAATAGAACATCTCTATCACCCAGCGTGTCCTTTCTGGCGTCTTTGCAGTCAGTCCCTTCCCCCACATGCTGACCTTACCAATCGCTGATCTGCATTCTGTTGCTCCAGTTTGCCTTCCTCTAAAATTTTCATATTTTGGGGATTGTACATGTAGTCTTTTGTATTTGGCTTCTTTTCCATAGTATAATGCTTTTGAAATTCATTTACATTGTTGTACATATCAGTAATTGTTTCCTTTTTATTACTGAGTAGTATTCCCTCCTGTGATACACCACAAATTGTTTATCCATTTACCAGTTGATGGACGTTTGGATTCTTTCAAGTTTGGGGTTATTATGAATAAGGCTGCTGTGAACTTTCTTGTTCAAATCTTTGTGTAGAACCTGTGTGTTTAAATTTCTCTTAGGTGTATACCTAGTAGTAGAATTGCTGGGTCATATGGTACGTGCTTAACTTTATAAGCAACTGCCAAATTGTTTTTCAAAGTTCTTGTAACATTTTGAATTTCCAACAATCATTGTATGAAAATCCAAGTTGTTTCGTATCCTTATAAATACTTGATATTTTCAAGCCTTTTTAAATTTAGCCATCTTATTTGGTATGTAGTGGTATCTCATTTAGGTTGTATTTTGCATTTCCCAGATTAATTATGTTGAAGATCTCTTCCTGTGTTTACTTGGCATTTATTTTCTTTGTTGAAATGTGTTGGAAAAGGACATCTTGTCCTTTTTTCCTTCTTAATATGGTTGTTTGGCACTTAGTTTTAATATCATTAGTGAGTTTATAAAAAGAAACATAAGGAAAAAATAGTGTTGCTTTTACAGTTTCTAGAAAGGTGTCCTTAATGGATATTTTGCTTCCTGACTGTGTGTATATGCACATGCACACTTGCTTTTTGGAGGCATGCGTGGAGGAGTTCTTCTGTCATCTGATGGCCGGATTTCATTTATCTTACCTTGCTTCCTTGCATATATACTCTTTATTTCCAAGGAATCTGTCGGTTCACATTCCCCGGGAAAACCACTTGTGGATTTACTAACTACTATAAAGACACACTCACAGTTACACTCTCATCCCATGCAAACCTTAACTCCAGTGCTGCTCTGAAGGCCTTCCTTGACGACCTCCGTCATCAGCCCACAGTGAGCAGGATGTCATCTGGTGCTTTTCAGTTCTCATGCACCTAGCACTATGCAGCAGTACATAATGGGGGAGTCAACACATGACTGTTGTTACCAAGCTGCTGACCCGGGTGACCCAAATGCTCTGTAGTGGTTCTAGGGTTTCAGTGAATACAAATTCAGTCTGAACTGATAGATCTAATACTAAATCATTTTGAAATTCTACTTTCAAAGCTGCTTATGTATGCTTTAAGTATAGAATACCTACATTTTGCTTGAGAGATTCTACAAATCTACTTGAAAATGTGTTGCAGCAAACCTATGATTATGATATGACTATGAATAAGAGAGGGAAACTGTATAATATTTTTGTATTAGACTTATCTAGGTTAGACAGCCTAAGAGTACCCCAAATTTCATTTCAGATTTCTAATGGGCATTCATATTTTAATCTACCTTTATCAGTGAGGCAAAAGGCAGAGTATGCTCTTGATAACTTTGAAAGTTGAGCTGACTCATAATGTGATCATGCTGTGTAGAAATTATTTATTTATTTATTTACACTAAAATAAATCTCATAATGTGATCATGCTGTGTAGAAATTTTTTTTATTTATTCACACTAAAATAGATGAAATTGTAAACTCTTAAGAGGTTATTTAAGAAATTAAAGATCCATTATGATCTAACAGGTCACTAGATTTACACCTAGAAAGTCTTCGAGTCTGGAGTTGGCTTAGCTCTGTGACTTTGAAATGGTCACTTAACCACTCTGGGCTTTCTTTTTCTCATCTGTGAAATGAGTCAACCGGAGCAGATGACTATACCATCCCTAAGTTGCAAGCACCTGTGCTATGAATTATTTGTATTAGGATCGTTTTGATTTCACTTGGCAACTTGGAAGATATATCCAGTCTTGAATTTCTCCATATGTAGTATTACTCCCTGTCTCAATCCCAATTGAGTGACTTTTCTATCTGTGAATTCATTCTAGTAAGTGTTCAGTTCTTTGCTATTTTCTCCCTTTCAAAAGTGTGAGAAGGATAAGGCAAAAATCATGAGAAAAATGAACAGAGATTTTAGATATAATTTTTGGCTAAGACAAAAAATATTGGTTGTAAAATATTAAGATACAGAGCCTTTTGCTTTGTTATTATGTGTCACAATCAAATTAATATTGGCCTAAACATATTTTAAATCAATATTTCTCTAACATAATAATAACAGCACATGATTTTATTAATTTGAGTTTATGGAAATCCCATATACTTCAGCAGGCAAATAAAATACTATCTTACACTTTAGGTATTAAAGCAATAAAAAAGAGCCAGGGAAGATGGAGTTTATATTTCTATTTTAATTGAATACTAACTTATGTTCTTGTTGAACCTTGTTAGGTAATGGGACAGGAGAAAGTAGGCTTTTTGAAAGTTTTAAAAGTGAGTGGAAAGTATCAATCTTAGTTGTTATTTAAATGGACATTTTCAGGCTTTCTTTGTATTTTTTTGAAGCTATACAAAATCTAGGTCAGGATTTGCAGCTTTCCTAACAAATGTTTAGAGTATCATTCATTAGACATTGCTCCAGAAAGGAGATGATAGTGCTGAAGACACTGGCATAGATGTTAATGAAGTAGTTTTTAGCCATTATCTGTTGGAGTCCCAAGTGCCTCCTTAAAATATTTTTCTGTTGGTAACTCCCATAAACCTGCAAAATATACAGTAAATCTCAATAAAGAGGATATCTATTGCAGCCAGGACACTTCCTTCTCTGTCTGTTGGCTCCTGCTTTTGAGTAAACAAAGACGCAGTCATTTGGACTGATGGTATCTGACAAAAGCAGATGCTGGAGGAGAAGACAGTTAGGTTTTCAGCACAGGATTTTCTTTAGCATTGCCAGCTGCCCCGATAACTATCACTTTCATGACTCATCCCAGTATCTCCAAGTGCAGCCAAAGCAGAACATGTCCAGCAGAAGTGGCTTTTCTCCAGGAGCCTCCGTTTCTTTCCCCGTTTGTAAAAAGGAGTCATGTTGTTTCTGGTCCCAGTCAATGTTAATTTTCCCTGATAATGAAACAGTCTGTACTTTGAAATTTGAGGCCATCAAGATCTGTCCTCAATCCAGGAAAATGAAGCCCAAGACCAGCAGAAATGTGTGCTTGTTTGTGACCTTGGGTCTGAACTGCACTTGGAGGACACAACAAGCTACTGGACCCGTCCTGTGGTATCTTCTCCCTTTGCAAACATTAACAGTGTTTCTGGGGGACAGTGTACCTGTTTTCCTACCCAGTTTTGCAGTTGTTTTTGAGGAAGCTCCATCATTTCTTACGTGATTCTGTGAGCTAGAAGGATTGACATGTCCTTTCTGGGATGTTGAGTATGAAGCGGTGCAAAGCCAGAGTTCTCAGGCTGATGGCAATACACAAGCTTTCGTTTAGTTTGCTTTCCATTGAATACATGAAGTTGGCCCCATAGTGGGATTTTTGTTTCCTTTTGGAATCAGTCTTAAAGTTTCTTGGAGCAGCTGAATTAGAAATGGGCTTTTAATCCAATTTATCCTTAGATAAATATAATGCCTGTGATTCAAGGAAAATCAGTTTCTTTTGAATGATACCTTTTAATCACTTTTATTCTCCAGCATAATTTTTAATCTTTATCTTTTTCCTTTTAGAAATCTCCGAATTGGACATTCAGAGCAGCATTCTTGTTCTTTCTACATCTTGAATTAGAAACTACCAAGGCTCTGTAAGTCCCGATAAGGAAATAAAAGGTAATTACACTAAAAATCTATTATTAAAATCATGTATAAATCTGGTTATAAAGTAAATATCCTTTATATGTTGAGCATAATTTAGGTATTCCCCAATTTTTCCCACCTTTTTCATTCTTAAATACTTTCCCTTCCCTCCTTCTCTCTTTGCTCCCACCCTTCCTCCCCACTTCCCTTATGTATATTCATTTAGCAAACTTTTATGGACTCTACCCTGTGCTGGTCACTGTTCTAAGCACACACACTTTATTCCAACCCTCCTCCCCTGGCAGGAATGGGGAGATTGGCAAAAACCATCCTTGTGGAACTGGCTCCCCAGCTTCTGTGTCAGCTGGTGGAGGGCAGACGCCCGCCATCGATCTGCCTGAGAGGCTGATCCCAGCACCTGCCCCACCTTCACTATCACCACTGGCCCTGAAATGCTTGGGTGTTTACTTGCAGTGGTTTTTTTTTCTGAGAATTCTGAACACTCAGTGGATATTTAATTTCCCCAATTGGGATGTTAGAATTACAATCACTCATGGAATAAGTAAAACAGAAACAGTGTACTGTTCCCCAACTACTGAATATTCTCGCTGGACATGGGACCTGGTATATATTTTTTCAACTGTTAATGTAATATAAATATTTAAACAAATAAATGTTACAGATAGATAGCATAGAATGTGACTTTCTACTCGAAAGCCACTTTCCAGAGAAAACACTGGTTAGATTTAGGTGCACATTAATTGTTTTCCTCTCCATGCACATACTAATGTTCAGATGTTCAGTCTGTATTAAATGCCTTAACCCTATGAATGAAAATATTGGGGTAAAGATGACCTCATAATTTCTGGCAAATATTGTGCCTTATTCTTGTTCTTGACCTTTGCTAATATAAATAATGATATCTATGAGTTGGGAGCCACTGACGCACCTATGCACTTGGTTTATTTGATGGTGTTTTCTAGTCAGTTTGTAGCCCAGAATGCTTACCTCCCATTACATTAAGAATGCATTAGTTGTTCCAGTGTTCCATAGAGAACCTGGACTCATGTGGCAAGGTGAACACCCTTTCCTTGGGTGGCGGTCAGGAGTGATGAACTTCTCCCTAAGCTGAGAACTTCTGTGTAAATCCAATGTGGCTCTTGCACCATCGATTTCATTTTTTAAAATAATTTCTATTGTGGCCAGGTGTGGTGGCTCATGCTGGTAATCCCAGCACCTTGGGAGGCCGAGGAGGGCAGATCATGAGGTCAGGAGACAGAAACCGTCTGGGCTAACATGGTGAAAACTCATCTCTACTAAAAATACAGAAAACCCCACAAATATCCAGGCATGGTGGCACGCAGCTGTAGCCCCATCTACTCAGGAGGCTGAGGCAGGAGAATCACTTGAATCCAGGAGGCAGAGGTTGCAGTGAGCCAAGATCACGCCACTGCACTCCAGCCTGGGGGACAGAGCAAGACTCCATCTCGGAAAAAAAAAAGAAAAAAAAATAATTTCTACTTTTGTTTTAAATTCAGGAGGTGCATGTACAGGTTTGTTATGTGAGTACATTGTGTGATACTGAGGTTTAGGATATAAATGATCCCATCAACCAGGTAGTGAGCAAAGTACCTACGGATAGGTTTTCAGCCTTTTTTCCTGTTATCCCCCCAGTAATCTCCAGTGCCTTTTCTTCCCATTTTTATGTCCATATGTACTCAGTGTTTAGCTCCTACTTACATGTGAGAACATGCTGTATTTGGCTTTTCGTTCTTGAATTAATTCACTTAGGTTAATGCTCTCCAGTTGTGTCCATGCTGCTGCAAAGGATGGGATTTCATTTTTGAGTGGCTGTGTAGTATTCCATGGTGTGTATGTACCACATTTTTAAAATCCAGTCCACCATTGATGGATGCCTAGGTTAATCCTGTGATTTTACTATTGTGAATAGTGCCACAATGAATATATGAATGCATGTGCCTTTTTGGTAGGACAATTTATTTTGCTTCAGTTATACACCCATTAATGGGATTGCTGGGTCAAATGGTAGTTCTAAGTTCTTTGAGAAGTCTCCAAACTATTTTCCACAGTGTCTAATTTACATTCCCACCAACAGTGCATAAGCCTTCCCTCTCCTCTGCAGAAGGAACTTAAATGATTCAACAAGCAAAAAACCAGATAACCCCATTAAAAAGTGGGCAAATGACATGCACAGACACTTCTCAAAAGGAGACATACAAGCAGCTAACAAACATGAAAAAATACTCAATGTCACTATCATCAGAGAAATACAAATTAAAACCACAGCAAGGTCCCATCTCATAACAAACAGAATAGCTATTATTAAAAAGTAAAAAAATTAATTTTATGTATCACAGTGTCTCCATCTATCCTTCAGCTGACAGCTGCAAGTCGGTTGATTGCCAGATGTCTTCCTCCTGCCGACCGCCTCTTACCCTGGCTTCCTGCCTCCCTCCTGGGATGCCAGATCATTGCCCCAGATCCCAGACTCAGCCCTTCTACTATCTTCCCCTGGGAGCTTTGTTAACCTCCCCACAGGCCCTTGGAATTGAAGCCCCCATCACTGGATACCCACCACTATGTCCAAAAACAATTTTTCCTTAAATTCCAGCAGTCCCTCCTGAGACAGCCCTGAGTAACCAAGAGGTCTGAGTATCAACATCAGTAGTCCAGAGCCTACTATGGCCGAGGGACACAGTGGGCTGCAGTAACTAAGGGACAGATGACCACTGAATGGACATGAAGCATCTGTCTAGAGCAAGGCTTGTTATCCTGGAATGCCTAGTGCCCTGGGCACTCAGAAACCCTGCCATTTGGGCCTCATGCTCCAGGTATCATTGAGTTGCCAGCTTTGAAGCAAGGCTTCTGTTTTCTTACAGTGAGTTCCTTCAGGAAAACTTGGGCGTGCGAGTGTTTCAGCTAGATTTATCAGCTGACTTAATGGGTTGGAGGGTCTGGCTCTGCCCAAACCAGCCCTGACTCCCTTCCTGTCCATTGTTTCAATTCTTCTCATGTCTGATGACATAAAGCGGTCCTGGAGAGCCATATTCCTCCGTGCTGAGGGTAAGAGTGTGGGCTTTAATGTTAGAAGGACCTGGGTCAGGACCTGGACTCTGCCATGTGCAATATGTACAACCCTGGGAAAGCTGTTTACTTGATGTACCAGCTCTTCATTCATCAAAGCAGAATCATAGTAGTGGCCAGACCATAGGATCATTTCGAGGAATGTGAGTTGCTACATGGGCTGGCACTTGAGAAGTGTTTAAAGTATGTTACTAGCATATGTACTGTGATCTTCTGCAGAATGGAGCTAAAACCTACTTATGAGGGTTGCCATAGGCATTAAATGAGGTGGCGTATGTAAATACACTGTGCTGGGCACATAGCGCATGCTCTGTAACTGAGAGCCCCCTGTGATAATGGTAAAGTAAAAATAGCACTATCAGCAAATGTGTTCAGAATGGAACAGGCGTTGTGACCGGAGTGTGGGGGAATATCTAACAGTAGTAGAGAAGAATGGCTGCAGTTCAGTAATCTCATCATTAGTTTAAGTCACTGTCTAAACTTTGGTCACAAAGGTTCATTCTTAAAGGCTTTGGTTATGATTGACTACTAGAGTGAATAGTCAAGAATATGTGTCCAAAAATCATTTTATTCTTATTAGGGGCTACTTTTTGAATATAAAAGGCAGTATATTCTTGGATTTTTATGAAATTTAGAAGTTAACTTAAGAATAAAGATAGTAGTAACGATTTTGTTCTCTCATTAGACCATTTTTTCCCATCATCCTTAAATGGGAAGTATCACTGGAGAATGCTCACCTAGATTATATGGTTGTTATGAAACTATTAAAGGAAGCAAATTGAAATCTAATAACGTTTGACCCTCTTATATCATACCTAAATTAAACGAGAAGTATTTAATAAATGTTGGCATTCGTTTTCCTCTACTTTGAACCAAAGACACATTTGAATCATTGGTGTATTAGAGAATTTTCTTACCATTTGTTTCACATGTTTGCTTTTTGTGCACTTGAAACTAATGATATTACTTGGCTTAAAAATGTCTTTTAAAGAAAAGAGTTACATAATTACCTAATGTACTATAAGTCACCTTAGAAAGTGAATGTATCTGGGGCCAGGCGTGGTGGCTCACTCCTGCAATCCAAGCACTTTGGGAGACCAAGGCGGGTGGTTCACCTGATGTTGTGAATTTGAGAACAGCCTGACCAACATGGAGAAACCCCATCTCTACTAAAAATACAAAATTAGCCAGGTGTGGTGGTGCATGCCTGTAATCCCAGCTACTCGGGAGGTGGAGGCTGAGGCAGGAGAATCACTTGAACCGCGCTCCAGCCTGGGCAACAAAAGCGAAACTCCTTCTCAAAAAATAAAAAAAATATAAAGAAAAAAAAGTGAATGTATCTGAGCTCTCCCGGTCATAGAGACGTGTCCTGTTATCTTAGCACCCAGGCCTGGCATTGAACATGCTCAGTACAGATGGGAACGGAATTAAAAATGCAGCAAAGGAATTGAAGATGTGAAAACCCATTTGTTAGAACACTGAGAATATGATGACTTTTCAAATTTGCCTTTAGCAGTACAGTTTAAACTACAAAGAAAAACATTGTAGTGGGAGTAACGTGCATTTGAATGCCGTGACAGTGGTACTAGTTCTTTGTTTTGTGCTAAGTTTAGGCCGGGGATGGGCTGGAGTCACCTCTCTCTTCTTTCCTTCTGCCCTCCTTCCCCACTTACCCCTCCCTACTCCTTCTCTTACCGCTCCCCACCCCTCCTCCTTATGAGATTGACCTTGTACAAGGGCCATGTGTCCTTGTTCTCCCAGCATCCCCTATGGAGTAACCCAGGCCTCTATGGAGGAGTTACTGATAAGAAGCAATAATGTCACTATGCTTGCTGTTTCTGCATTTGTGGTTTGTATTCCTGTAGACTCTTACATCGGTTACACACCAAGGGAAGGAGTAGGCAGCCTCTCTTTCAGAATCCGTGGTG